ATTCTTTAATTGTACTAGGTGGATCCTTTGAACATAACAAATAGAGAAGGCCAGTTTCTGTTAAGCTGACTGCTGGACATCATACTCCACCCGCACAAAATACAATTTGGATTGAGTTGGGGGTGGACACCTTACCTTAACACACAAAGGAGAAATATGTCAGTGAAAAATTTGGACTAAATTGCTTTCAGGAAGAAATTTTTAAGACTTGCTATCAGTTGGAAAAGGGACTTTCCCTCTCTCATATGGAGAGAGGGAAAGGCAGGTAAGGCAGGTAAGGCAGGCCCCAGTCATTCTAATTTCTGCAGTTAAAACTTTATTTGCTTATTTAGTTTTTTTCCTCTGAGTTCAACCGCTGTTGGATTCGTTTTACATAACTTTGTGCCATGGAGTTAATGATGGACAGGATGAAGTAAAACACCATGACAATGACCAACTTCTCAAACATCCAGGACAACCAGTTTTCTCCCTGTGGGGTTCCCATTTCACTTTTGTGGTGGAGTTTTTGACGCTGAACTTCCAGGTATTCCTGGAATGGCTTCTGTAGAGAAGGACCAATGCCCGGGACAGCACCTATGAAAGCCACCATCTGTTCCACTATGTGTTTGCTGAATGTTACTATCACGAAGATTTTCTGAATGTGCATTTTAATTATTGCTTTTTCAATCAAGTTTGCACCAAAGAAGGTCCAGAAAGGTACAAGAAAGTGTCCACAAGTTATTCCAGCTAAATCAAACAAAGGATTTGGAATTAAAGCACATGCCAAAATTCCAAAAAAGCCAACCTTCTGTACTATGTTTTGAACTGCCAGTTCGGCCCAGGAGGCAAAGATTTGTGCAGTCTCTGCATGTTCAAGCATCACTTCAAATTCCTGATATTCTTCATCATCCAGTTCAGCGCCTGAGAGTCGAGCTGCTCTTGCCATGAAATATGGAGGCAGCTCTCCAGTTGCTGTACCAACACCCCACATGCAGGCCTCAATCCTAACTTTTGAGATGATGCTCCACAAGGAAATAGCTCCTTCAATATTCTCTTCATCTTGACAAATAATCTGATCCGGGTAGGGTGGTTCAGGGAAATTAACTGAATTACACACTGATCCCAACATATGGAACTACCATCAGCTGATGTGTTTGAAATCACAGAAGCCATGGAAGCTTCATATATAAGTTATTATATGGAGGGCTAGTGAAAGGGAGATAGATGTGAAGGGAGGGAGTAGAAGTGGATGGATATCCTGTGGGATGGTGAAGCAGGAAATAAGTGC